CCCAAAAAATTTTGAAAATTTCATAATAAAATATTTAAAATTTCCAGCTTCAGCTGTTTCCAGCTTCAGCCGCAACATTAATTATTTTTATAAAAATTTAATCCTGGCCAATATTTTAATATGTCTTTAATTTTCTTATTTTGCTACCCAATAGTTTGATTTTATTTAGATTTTATGATGATATTTACATAACTATATAAATTTACTCTATATAAATTAATATTAATTTAAATATTGTTAAAAAATTTATAAAATATTTATTTTTATTATATTTATTTATTAATTAATGAAGGGTGTGACGATTTAGTGAAGTGGACAAGTTGTTATCCCCAAATGGCATGTATAGGGTTTGAATCCTGTTGAAAGCAAATCTTTGAATTTCTATCTATATATAGCTATGATCTTCTCTGTTGGGCTGTGTTATGCACAGTACTCATCAAAGTTGAGGCTCAGTTTTGTAACCTGGTATTTACCAATTTAACCAAATTGGGAGAACCTATAGGCCATTTGTATAATGTATAAGTTACACAAAAGCATGCAAGCTAGCAAAGAATGGTGCAAACCCAAGATAAGTCCTTATAGCCAGATAATTCCTGAGAACTTCGGCAAGATCAATGCCCATTTGGCAAGATCCGAGTAGAAAGATAGTGAAGTCTTAAGTGTCTGAGTGAACTCTATAAGGGCAGGATGATTCAAGAAGTGGTGTAATCTGCTTGTAAAGATATTGAATTTATCTGATAAAGAATTCTCATGTGGCTAATCAATGGCTGCCAGGTTCACTAGTGGAATGGGTCCACTATTCCAGCTGTTATACAGCCCAAAGAAAACTAGATCAACTGTTAAGTAACAGGCAACAACAGAGGGCACTAGTTGGGTATCTTCTTCCCTTACTATAACTAGTTATGCTTTAAATTAGTTCTTTAATAGAAAATAAGGGGTGATTTGCCACATGAAAATAGTTATATGAGATAAATAAATAGTTAGAATAGTATCACCTTGATATAAAAATTTTAACTAATATTATGTATTTGGCAAAATCAAAAATAAAAAAAAAAAATTTATTAATTAATATCAATACATCATTGGTCTAATAATATAAAGAATTGCTATTTTTACCCCCACTTTTGCTAATGCCACCCTCTATAAGATCAGAGCCAGCATCCGGCCTGTGTTATGTGATTCCAGAGTTGAAGTGGGTGTTACATGATATGCATCACTTGCAAATTGGTCCGAAAATTTTAAGTAGTACAAAACAGTATCACATGACCAGTGTAATATATTTCAAAGCATATTCATCTAACATTCACCTGATCGGCGATGTAGATCAATTAATCAAGTTACTTATTTAAGTACTTTTTAGTAGCATAACGAAAAAAATCGCTATAAAAGCAAATTCTAGTCCTAAATGAACATTTTATTATATACTGCTGATACTAGTTATTACGTAACTATATATATGCATATATGTTTTAAATGCCAAAAATGAACAACAAAAAATGATTGAGCGTTACATGTAAGCTTTAAATTTAAAGAACTTTGAGTACGCTGTTTATACTATAGATTATACCACAATAGGCTTGTACTAATGCTTACTATATTCTGAATATTATAGAATAATATTACTAGATTATTAAATATGACTTTGGGTTAAGTAGATCGATGTAGTATTATTGTTTTATTAATTATATAAGCTAAAGGTCACATCACATCTATGGTTACTATGAAGTTATTAATGTTTAGAAGTGCATCAGGCATTGTAATAGTTTGTTAATAAAATATGTGATTCTCAGTTATAATATTAGCTCTAATCATCATTATATTTATTTTGAATTTGATATAAAAATCATAGTTCTAATTATGGTTTAAACCATTATTCATGTAATGATCTATGTAATGGCTTAGCTGCTGCATTGTAATTAGAATCGTTAATTAATCTTCAGCTAAGTTATTTTAGCTAACCCAAGCTGATAATGTTTTAATACTGATAAAAGTATCAGAACCTTAATAGTATTAATAATCTTAGTTAAATATACAATCCTACTCTAAGGAATGTAAATATTAATTTGCTTAATGATAGGAAAATATAAATTGCATAAGCCTTAGTTAAATACTTGTATATCCAAATTGACTATCATATATTGAATTCCTAGTGATCTGCACTTAAACTACAGTAAGATTATACGTAATTGATGTAATGATGTATTTATAATGTAATGAATTAGACAAATAAATATAGCATATAACAACAAATAGTCTCACAGTCTCTCTTTTCTCTTCTTTTGCCTCTAAAACTGAAATATAAAATCAAAAAATTATCTACTTTGTTAATATATTATAAAATTTAAACCGAATACAAAAACTGGTTAATAAAACTATAAAAAAAAAAAAACTGTTAGCAAAACTACAACAAAAATAAAAAATAAAATAGTTTAATAAACATTTAATAATCATAATAATCATCTATTAAATGCAATATTATATACTTTATATAGATCCATCTCCAACTAATGAATCATTCACAAGTCATCATGAACTTCTTAAATAGGTTCGGACTTTTGCTAAAACTCAATGATATGCCATATCTATAAAGAGGTCGTGAAAAGACAGAAAAGGTGAACAAAAAATGTAACATTGGTATATAACAGAAACAGCCTCTATAAGAACAGTTTAAACTGACAAATGATACTCATCATAGAAAAACTGCATCAAGACTTGTGGATTGTCTGTTTGAACTTTTTGGAACCAGACGTAGTAATGTTTGGTATCTTGAGAATATAAACCCTAAACATAAAAACCATGAAGCATCAACGGACATGTTTGGGCATCTGATAGTTAGAAGGTTAAACGCTGAGCAAAAGGTGATGGTTAAGCAAATGGCTGCTGCTGGTTCTCGTCCCTGTCAAATTTTATCTACTATACATCAAAATGATCCATCTTCAATAGTTATATCTAAGACAGTATACAACACCATGCAATCTATTCGTCAAGAAAGGCTTGATAGTCATACACCAGTCCAAGCCCTTTTAGATGAATTACAAGGATCAGATTTTGAGTTTGAGTATCAATATGATTAGCAAAACTGTATAACTCCTCTCTTTTTTGTATACAGAGTCTTTATAGCTTTAACTCGTACCTACCACACTGTATTACTAATTGACTGCATGTATAAGACGAATTGATATAAAATGCTCTTAATGAATGTTGTGAGTGTATCGAGTTTCAACACCACTTTTTTTTCTTGGTTTACTTTTCTATGTGATGAAACAGAAAAAGATTATAAGTGGGCCCTGACTTGTGTTGCAAAAATTTTCAATGAATTATCTCATCGCAATGTTATTGTTACAGATTGGGAATTAGCACTAATGAGAGCTGCTGAAAAAGTTTTTCCTTATACTCATAATGTCCTATGTATGTGGCACATAAATAAAAACATTTTAGAAAATGTAAGCACTATTTTATCACAGAAGAGAGTTGTACAGAATTTTTAAGAACGTGGCAAGTGGTAATGGCATCTGGCGCTGAATAAGAATTCATAACTAAATGGAATGAATTTTTAAAACATTATACAAACAAACCTGAAGCCTTAAAATATCTTCAAGAAATCTGGATTCCTCATAAGGAATATTTCGTTCAGCCTGGAGTAATTGTTATTTACATCTTAGTAACACTGTGGCCTCACGAGTAGAAGCAGCACATACTATTCTCAAAAGGTGTTTGCAGTCGTCCTCAGATAGAAAAGATTAATTAGGGTCTATAAATTATGATTATTGGTTTACAATTGCAAAAATATGTAAAATATGTAATATAATTAGTGTGGATGCCAAATTAAAAAAAAAAAAAAAAAAAAAACTTTGAATTCATTCTAGTAAATTGTTAAACTTTTTTTATATTCACATTTACAGATGATCTTGAGTCAGTGCACCACAAGAATATACTACAAATAGAAGCACAGGCAAGAGAGATTCATGCAACAATTTCTTCTCAACGTATAAGAATACAATATACATATCGAATTCCTCTCTTTGAGCCTCTCTTATACCAAGTTTCCACCTTTGTGTTGAATAAGATCCATGGTAAGCTGATTAAAGCATCAAATGCAACTCTAGATTCTCTTCTAAAACCCTGCACAAGAACTTTTAAATCTACAATGGGCTCTCTTGCTCACACATAATTAATGAATGTCTATCAGCTAATTTGACATTATAGAAAGCTAATGTTTACAAATACTGGTGGATCTAAGGCCAATGTATAGAATTTTTGGAGCTACATACTCTCTTAATTATGATTGTAGCAATCTCCAGCCTCTCCTGCAATCTCTCACACACATGTACCAATTCTGGCCACCACACCAGTGAAATACTATCTAGTTCCAATTAGAAGAGTTGGTGAATACCCCACTCATCATACTAGAAGAACCTGTTACTAGTAAGCCACAAGGAAAACCAGCAGATACAAGAAACAAAAGGACAACACAGAGAGATCCGTCTGCATTCAAGTATATTGAAAAATAGACAAGATAATGTGGTACATGTTATCAAATGGGTCATAATAGTTGCACTTGCCCTAACCTGTGATTATTTGCTTTTATATAGAAAATTTTGCTTTATATAGAAAATTTTTTGTTTTATTAGTGTATATATACATACTTCTTATTTAGCATATTAGAATTTTTTAATGCTTATTACTATAGACAAAAAGAGTATGTAAAGCATATATAGATTAATCAATGGAATAGAATTATCAAATTCACTTTTATCGAATTATAATTTGATAGTAATACAGTAATATCGATATGCATTAAATCACATTAGATTATCATCAAATCATTAGATTATTGTTTAACTCATTATTAGCCATGATCTACCTATGAGAAAATGAAAAGAACTTCACATAAAAAAAGAAAGCCTACAAACTAATAAAAGTACACAAAAAAGAATTTGGTATATTTTAAAAATGGTTGAATAACATGAAAATTTTACTAATAAATCTAAGCTCAAACACAATCAAAAACTCCAATATACGAATAAATTACTGTATTACATAATGAAGTTATCTTTTAGTCTTTATTTATTACATTGTAAAAGTAATTAAAATAATTCTATCTTATTTTTTGTCATCGCGACCTTTATTAGACGTAATGTGACCTTTAGCTTATATAATTAATGAAACGATAACACTTATATATTGATTTACTTAACCCAAAGTCATATTTACTAATCTAGTAATGTTATTCTATAATATTCAGAATATAGTAAGCATTAGTACAAACCTATTGTCAGTGTAATATATAGTATAAACAGCATACTCTAGGTTCTTTAAATTTAAAGCTTATATATAACGCTCAATCTTTTTTGTTCATTTTTGGTATTTAAAACCTACATATAACGACCCATGAGTCAATAGCGCAGTGGTTAGTGCTCTCAGATCACAATCGCAAGGTCGCGAGTTCAAGTTCCACTGGGTGACGAACGGCTCTGCCAGGACCACGATTGGCTAAGATCTTTAGAAGATTTTTCATTAAAAAAGAAAGAACAAGATTCGTACCAGTTGCAGTCCACCGGCATAGCTACAGGGCCGGGATGAACAGATAAGGCGCAATCCGTCAACAAACGACACTAACATTGAGAAAAACCCAGCTTAAGGATTAATAGAATCAAGGATATCAGATATAAAAGAACGATCTGGCTTGTGGGTCATGTGAAGTTAGGGAACTGCAGATCTAGAGAATGTAGGTCCTACACCACGGCACCAGAGACTCGGGACGTTATATGACGGACTTAATGGAACATGAGCTATTTCGCAAGTACAATAATGAATATAGAGACCTTTCGGCTATCTATTGATCTCCGCAAAATGATAACTCTGGCCTTTGAGAGATGTGAGAGAAATCTGAAGGTATCTAAGGACCTTCAGGATACGGAGGAAGGAAAAAACAAAAAAAAAAACCTATATATAGTTAACCAGCAATATATATAGTAAGTAAAGTTCTTGAAAGTGTAGATAATTTTGGATTAGGTTTAACAATGAATATGTATCTGTGTTCGTTTTTGTTAGTGAACATTATGCTCCTTATAAAGTGTATAAAGTAAAATACCAATTGATCTACATCAGCCAATTAGTTGAATATTAGGTGAATGTGATTTTATGATGAAATTGTTATACCAGTCATGTAATGCGTTTTGTGCTACTTAAAATTTTCAGGCCAATTCGCAGATAATGCATATCACGTGACACCCACTTCAACTCCGAAATCACATGACACAGGCTGGATGCTGGCTCTGATCTTATGAGTGGTAGCATTAGCAAAAGTGGAGGGTGAAAATAGCAATTCTCATAATATATAAATTATTAAAATAACAGTCTATTTATATATTAAATCATTTATTTGTTAGGATTACTACTAATATTTTTCTTAGATTATTATCTCTTTTAAATTTATATGAAGAAGATATAAATTATTCTAATATCCTTTGTATAGGTATTATACAATCTCTTAATTTTTCATAAAAGATTTTTTGCCAAATTTCTATATCATATCAACTATCATCTTTTAATGATAAGTAAAAACAGTGTGTGTTATTTGGTCGATACTATCAAATATATACTAGATAGTATATATTATTATCATATTTAAGTTGAAAAAAAAATTATATTTTTCTCAGATATATATCTATAGAATTGTCTATATAAGCCATGAACTTTGCTTTGTATATGAGTGATTTTTATATCTAGGAACAATCTTTAATCTATATATTTCTGCACCAATTTTTAATCTTCCAAACTAGGTAACAGCTTGTACTATTGATATTGGCTCAGTTATATAAAGATTACTATAAAGCTCTTCAGATAGTGTAGAATAATAATTTATTAAATTTTAATAAAACTCATTGGGAGTATATACATTCTCATTTATTTTTCTGATCATCTTACCCGGATATTTTTCTGTATCAGTGATTACATTAACATTATTAATTTTATTTGCCATCTTCAGATAATCTACCAAATCCTCACAATTAAAGTTTTTAGTTATTTTTAAGCTTCTACGCACTTTTTTATCGAAAGAAAAAGAGCTTGATCTAATAATAATTTAGCTTCACTCATATCAACAGAATTTATTCTAAATCCTACTTGTGTATTTTTTATTAGAATGTACATAAGTTCAGTTCAATAGACCGTTTGCTTGTGGGTAGGTTTCTAATAAGCCATTCATCTGCTTAAAAGACTAGCACCAATAAGCATATAGTGGACTATAATCTAAACAACAGATGTTAGTGGATCTTTTTCAAATCAAGTTCTCAAGCACTTAAAAGAAATGAATATAATGCATTAAAAAACTTTCTTAATTTACTTTCAACAAATAGAGAAGTCAATATCTCTATAAAAAAATATATATTATCATATTCTGAAAATATTCTGGATTATTGTATTAGAAATATTCAGAAAATATTAAGAAAATATTTCAGTTTATTAACTAAATTATACTTCAGAAATATTCCTGTTTTTCAAAAATATTTCGAAAATAATCAGATGCTAATTATATTTTACTCCTAATATATGAGAATTTTCTAGAGTATTATATATATTTTATACTTAAAACTATTCTGATTATTTGTAATTAGTTTAGAAAATAGCTTGCTAATAATCAGATTATTTTATAATTATATTTATAAATAAACTAGAATGTATCTTGATAATAATTAGATTTTATCATAATTATTTTTTGATTAAAACATAAATATATTTTTTAATAATCAGATTATTTTATGATTATATATATATATATTTTTTTTTTGGTATTAAGGTGAAGCCTTGCTCGTATTTTTATTAATAATTTTTGAAATAGCAACAATGTGAATTACTACGAAAGAGCAGAGATTTACAAGCTGCTACTATTTGTACTAGTACAAATAAAAATAAAAATTACATACAAGAATAAAAGCTCAGACAGAGAAAAATTTATCTGTGACCTAAACCAACTAGAGTGGTCAAGACTCACCTAGATTACTATAGTTAAGATATAATTTAAGGAAAAACTGTACTTGGCCTAATATACAGACCAAGTGTTAATTTTCTT